TGTTTGGAAATCCAAGTCCAGTTCCCAAAATTTTGCGATCTGTTGATCGACCTTTTCTTCTTCCGTCAATACTGCACATGTGCTCGGATTTTTTGAAGCGTCTTTTAGCTTTCCAGCCACAATCCATCCTAATTTGGTTTTTTGTAATTTAGGCAATCCTATTCCAATTGATACATGCTTGTGTTGCATGATATCGAAGTAGTGTTCTGCTCCTAACAGAATGTCTTTTTTTCCAACTTTGTCGAAATTGGGATCAGCTAATGTTTTTCAGCTAATGCCTTTCGGAAGCTTCCAACAAGATGTCTCAATTGACCGTGCTGGTTGATCTGAGACTATGCGTGGCAGTAAAATTGCCTCTAGTCTTGAACTGAATTTATTATGTCTTGATTTGAGCATAACATTGACTCTTGCTTTTGATGTTTGTGTTCGTCCGCCAATTCCATTTATTTGTAGATCTGATTTTTCCACTTTCAGATCTAATATTTTCAATGCACTTTCCGAGATTACATTGACTTGTGAGCCTGAGTCAAGCAATGCTCTGAACTCAGCAATTTGTCCATTGTTGCCTTGGATATGAACTCGAGCGGTAGCCAATAGTACATAATTATTTTGTATACTATTTGCTGATGCTGCAGTTTTGGCTTCGGACTTAGTTTCCAAATGGAGAAGAGTGTTGTGCCCTTTGTTGCATTTAAAACAATATCTTCTTTGGCAATTTTTGCTGTGTGATTGCGTTTGAAACATTTGACGCACAGTTGGTTCTTTTGAACCCAATTTAATCTATCTGCAGAAGTTTTCTTTAAGAACTGTGTGCATTTATAGATAGCGTGATTTGGCTTTTCACAAAAATGGCAGAAATACTGGCTTTCAGCTCCTGCTGAGGCACATGTGATGGGTTTCTTTGGTTTTTCCCATCCAATGGCTTCCAATGTAAGAAACCTTTGCTCGAGGAATTTCACGAATTCGCTCAAAGGTTGTAATTCCTTAGTATTCTGTATAGATTGCTTATACAACGTATGAGTTTGACGATCTAATTTATTCGTCAGAAAACATAGTAGAAGCGTATCCCATTTATCTGTTTCTATGTCGATGTTATTTAGAGCTGCTAAGGTTTCTTTGATGTTATCGTGTAATGCCTTAATTGATTTGGCATCATTTGATATGTTTGGTTGATCCAATAATTTTTGAATCAATGTGTTACTGAGCACTCTCTTGTTGCTGAAACGCTCTTGTAACGTATTCCATGCTGTAATGTAATTTCCTTCTGTTAACGAAAGGTGGCGTATTAAATTTTCTGCCTCTCCCGTAACATTGGTTTTTAAATACCACATCTTTTGAATGACGGGTACAGATGCTTCATGAATCATTTTCTTAAAAATGTCATGAAATTGTTGCCACTTTAGGTAGTCTCCATCAAACTTGGGGATTGCAACCTTTGGCAGGGGTAATGCATTATGCATATGTGGAGCAGGAATAAATGACTAAACAGGGTCTGATACAGTCATTGTTTGAGTTGTTAATACTGCATCTTCAGCTGCAATATAACTGTTAATGTTATATCCCATTTTCACAGGATCGATTCATTTGGAATAGATTTTGACATGAATCGTTCTAATTTCATCCCAATATTTTAATATTATTGGTTTGAAATCCTTTCGCGTCTAATTTGTCAATCTGTTCATGATGCGCTGTAGACTTTCAAGCAGCACCCTTTGTTCTCGGATCATGGGCTCAATTTCGGACTCATTCTCCATGGAGGTAATAGATCCAGAAACTATCTTCATTTCCAAAGAAGACAATTGTTTGGTCAACTCGTCGTTGTATTTGCTGACCAATTCTTTGATATTTTCAAAATATTTATTAGAGAAATAATTGTGCTCATATTTTGCGCCATCAGTTATTTCTTGAATGTTTGTGTCTTCCATTAAAAATGTTTTCCAGAGATTCATTAACCTCTCAAGTCGGGTTTGAAAATATTCAGGCTGCTGCTTCCTTTCAGAGGGATCCTTTATGAGGAACTCAGGAACTCCTGATGATGTTTTGGATCTCTTCGCCCGTGGCCAATTGCCTGTCCAGCACAACATTAATGCTTGATGATGCCATTTTTTATTATTTGCCGTACTACTTTGACCCGATGGAGGTAATTTGTTTGTCGTTATGACAGGCTACTCACAACCAAAAAAGGTGGTCAAAGTAGTCTAACAAATTGTTAATGACAATGTCGAATGTTTTTTTTTTAATCCAACCGTAGTCGCCAAGTTGACTGTATCGGTTTGGGTTGATTTAAATAAATCCAGCTAGTTTTCCTTCACAGAAGGTAATGATAAATCACAACTGTGATTGATGACGTATGTATGTAAATTGGTCGCCAAGTTGACCAATTATGTAGGATTTTCCAAATAAATCCCAGTTCCAAATCGGGAACAATACTCCAGATGAACGGTTAAATGTCCAAAAGTCGGGGGTCACCAAATGAATGAATCAAATGAATCTGTTGATGTAGATTCAGTTGGTTCTAGTGATTGTCAATATGACAATCGTATGATGAAATATAAATGTGTTTGCCACCGGTTCACGTACCAGTAACAAAATGTCGCCGCAATCGGTACTTGAACAAATTGGGCTTCGGAGATGTGAATACGTCAGAGTTTTCTTTCGTTTGGTTTCTAGTAGTACAATTGTTTACTTAGGATCATAGGTTTGTTTAATTAGTTCTAAGTATAAGTAAGTATGGAAAGATATTTATATGACTGTCGTAAAACGATTATCATGCAGATGGTGTGACATTTTACAACTGCAGATCATCTCGAATGTTATTTATGACATGTTATCATTTTTATTTTTATGTTATCAATATAACAAGATTATGTGCATGCATGTGCATGCACGTGCATCCAGCTGTCTGTTGAATATTTATTTAGGTCAGCGGTGCATATCTCATATTTATTGGGTTAGTTTTAAAATATTTATATAGGTTACTGAGAATTCTTAACAGACATAAATTTAGGTCTGACCATACGGTTTGATGTTTAAATCTAAATCGTACAGGCTTTTTACTACGTGTTCTGTAATGTGAGCGATATCTAGTGGTTGGCGATGTCTTCTACATCTAGATGTAGTCCTGAGTGCCGGGTATAAAAGTTGTGACGCGTAAGAAGCGTCTCACACGTCCCTTCTCGTTAAATATCATATTTGTACAGTTTGTGGCTACACAAACGACATCTATACAAAATCTATACATACAATTAAAATAACACTTAAAATATTGAAACTACTCAACTTTTATAGAAAACCGCTATTAAACAGAAGGAAAAATGTTCACATAAAGGATTATTTTAACATTTAGACATTGGAATTCGACGCTTTTATTTTGTAAAATATTGTAATCTTAAATCGGTAGCGAGTATAATAATCTAATTCATCTCTTTACATACCAACTAAAATACAAATAAATATAATAAATCATCTTATATGTAAATCCTGTCATTCCCATGCATAATCTATCATTTTAAACGATCTTCCACCCACTTACACATCTCCCTAAAGACAACAAGATCTGTTTACCCATAATAAAACTCTTTGTCTCTCTCTCCATCTACCAAATGCTGAGCAAATGTTCTATTAGAAGGTAATTACTTGGCAAAAGAGCAACAGATACGAATATACATATGTACAATGTACACTGTACATACTTGCGTACATATATGTACATGTACATACCTTAATTATATGTACCGATGTACCATTCTACAAACAGACATGCAAATTATATACGAATTATGTACGAGTAATAAGCAATTATCGTGAATCAGAGACACTCTACAAGGCGTCGTCCTATGTTTGGGGATTGAAACCAACGAAACCCCCACGATTCGACTAATTAGCGATATAAAAATTGTAAAGGCTGGAGGGGAGTGGGAGAAAAGGAGTCTAAAACAGGGGAAAGACTATAAATAAATGGCTGTTTGGTGTTGCATGTGCTGCTTTTGCTCTTGCTGATGCCAGCCACGTTAATTGTTAAACAAATGTACGTTTATCACTCAAAGGAGAGCCAGTGGATGGGGGTTGTAGGAGGAGTCAGCCAATATTGTCCTTGTTAGACGAATGGAAGGTAGACAGAACACGGGCAGGCAGGCAGAAATCCGCGTGAATGCCACATAATCCACATTCCCCCTCATCTGTATGTGTGTGGGTTTGTGTCTATCCACGGGAATTGTTATGTTTTTCGTATTTAACCTCAAACATGGGCCTTGCTTGTATAAATTCCACGCGGAAAACAGGCAGCAGTTGCCAGTGGCAGTGCCCAGAGATTGGTGTTTGCTGCTGCTGCAATTGTACTATGAAATTATGAGAGGCAACAGCACCCAACAGGCGGCAGCAACACCACCCCAAGGTGGTAGCAAGCGGCAGCGTCAACGTCGACTTCGACGCATCGTTCATCGCGTGCTCACATATGGCGGAAATGACACTTTTACATTTAGCATTGGCGCTGTAGAGAAAGTGAGAAGCAGAGAGAGTCAGAGAGAGAGGAGAGACAGAGACATGTACGCCACACCCAGACGCGATAAACTTAATTTCTGACAGGCCGCAACAATACACACAAGGCAACAAGGAACTGTGGATGCGGAAAGCAGGGATGGTTATGGAAAAGCACTAGGGGGAGGCGGGAGACACTGATACAGACACGACCATGTCAACGCTGTGGTGAATGGTGACTGCAGCATTGATGGGTGTTGGGGATCGCTCAGGCCTGCTGTGTAGGTTCTGGTAATGAATAAACTGGGCTTGAAATATCCCCCACAAAAGCGGAACTACGCTCTCAAGCGGTAGTTAATTTTTTATAACGCCCTTCCCATCTCTTTTAACAGACTATGACTCCATAAATCACTGGAAAAAAGACTCCGGAAAACGTAGATATAACTAAGCTAGTCTTAAATCCACTCTTTTGTTTTTTGAAACCTTTAATTTGCTCAAATCCTATCTCTATCTTAAATCCACAGCTCCAATATGGACTCTGACGATCTAGATGACACTCATTTGTGCATTAAATGCAATGCCACCATAGTGGGACTCGCCAAGTACATTGAACACCGCAAAACCAATTGCCTGGTGGATACACCGAAAGCCCAGAGACCAGTGACGCCGCCTGCCACAAGAGCAGAGGCTGCCACTCAGAAGCTTTCGCCTACGGCGATACTCAGCAGCACACATTTGGATCACTCTTACGATGGCTTTCATTTCGCCGAGCCCGAGGCGCCAAGCAGTTATCTGAGAAAAACGACAACGAGCCATGGTGGAAAGACCTCCAAGTCCTTGACGGAAGCCTACGATTTGCCCTACGAACTGGGAGCTGATTTGTTCTTCTCCTCCCTGCAACTGCAGAGTGTTTCAACGGGTGGAAAGACCGTGTCGAGACCCAAAGAGGAGGCATGGGATGGGCCAAATAGAGCAGCAGCCAAAGAGGAGTCCTGGACAGCGGCTAGAGATCCTGTACTCAAGGCAGTACGAGATGAGTCTGTCTTTAAGCCACTTAACTTTGTGCACGACTCCCCGGAGCCCAGCGATGAGGAGGATGAAGACGATGACGATCCGGATGACTCTTTCGATGTGGAGGAAGACGAAGCCGATGAGGAGTACGATGTGGTACAGCACTCGCCACCAGCAGTGCCTGCCACGCATACGGGTGGCAAGTGGAAGCCCGAGCATCGTCCGCAGCTGCGTCACACCCACCTGGAAAGAATATCGCCCAGCTGGGATGAGCCCGTGGAAGAGGTCTACGCGCATCCTCCTGAAGAGCACACCAAGGGCAAGTGGGTGCCCGGCAGCAAGCAGCTGGAGTACCGCGAGAACATAGACCTGACGAAGCTGCAGCAGCCGGGCATAAGCTATTGGTGCAACATCTGCTGCAGGCGCTTAAAGAGTCGCTGCAACTACGATCGGCATCTGCGTTCCGGCTACCATTTGAAAAGAGCGGAGACCGAGTGCCAGCTGGAGCAGGCCACACTCGGCGGAAAGCTTACTCTAAGCAGGGACTTTAGTCTTCCAGAGCTGGAGGAGCAGCCAACGGAGGAGCCTGTGTCCCCCAAAAGGAAACGCCGTGCGCATCTCCTGCGCTGCGATCTGTGCCGCCACACGATGGCCAGGCATTTGATGGGCAAGCATCTGATTTCTCATTACCACTACCGACGCCTTCAGCAGCAGACGCCGCTGCGGAGGCAGTCCTTTCTGCAGGACATACTCGACCACATGGACAGCATTGTGCGTCAGGCGCCGTTCCAGTGTCTGCCCTGCAGCTTCTATGCCAACACGGAGGAGGCGTTCCTGCAGCACTGGCGATCCGAGGAGCATTTACAGCGGGTGAAGGCGACAGGTGGCAGCTTCTGGTGCAGCTACTGCCAGTTTGAGTGCGACTCCAATGATGTGATGTGGGAGCATATGCTACACCCCTGCCACAAGGATGTGGTGCTGGCACTCAACCGATCCGTGCCCATCTGCATTGCCCAGCGGAGTCGCCTGCAGTGCTCTGCTTGTGGCGAGAGTTTCCTTTACAATATGCAGCTGCGTCGCCATTTTGCAACGGATCATGCGGGTGAGACGCCCACCGACACGGCCGCCGATGACTATCAGAGTCGCTTTCGGTGTGGCATATGCGGAGCACCACAAATGTCCCGTCTGGCGCTGCAGCGGCACGAAAAATACAAGCACAAGCTGGAGCGCTACTACTGTGGGATTTGCCACTTGGAGTTTGAGACGGCGCTGGAGGCGCGTCGCCATCGGAGTCTGCTGCAACACAAGCTGCGGTCTACGCCCCAAGACAGGATTGCCCCACAGTCGGATAAGGTGTTGGAGCGCATGCTACGCGAGGTCCTCGAGGATCGACGACCGAATACACCAGCCGAAAAGAAGCGACTTGTCGTGACCATCAAACAATGCGCCAACTGCCAGAAGATCTTTGACTCACCTCAAGCTCTGGCCCAGCATCGAGCGCAGGCGCATCCCACGGATAATCATGCCTGTCTGAGTTGCGGCGAGAATTTCCATTCTCCCCAGGCACTGGGCAGGCACAATCGTAGCTGTCAGCCCACGGCAAGCACATCCTCCGCTGGTAGTACAGACGCCAGCAAGTCCTGGAGCTGCGATCTGTGTGCTTTCAGATGCGAATACGAATCGGATCTCCTGTATCACAGCTTCTTTCACACTCGAACGGGCTCCATTGGCAGCAACGAGCTGCTGCAGTGTCCGCGCTGTCCGAAACGATTCAAGATGTACTCCCTCCGGCCGCATCTCAGAACTCACACCAAAGAAAAGATCTTCGAGTGTGCCGTGTGCCAGATGAAGTTTGGCAGGCGACACAATCTCAAGAATCACATTTCCACGATGCACAGCCAGAAGGTTATAAAGGAGAAACCCAAACGGACAGTAAAGGCTGTGCCCAATGAAGAGAAACCCAAATTTCCATGTACAGCATGCGGGAAACTGCTGGCAAATAGGTGAGTAGACGCCCCAAACACTTTTTTTACCCAACTAAAAGTCCGCTAATTAGAATCTCAGAAGAGCCTCAGGCACTATCTGCATCGAAAGTATTTTTCCTCATTCTCATATGGAAATTTGTCGCCCCGAAAATAGTTTACGAAAACAATAAAAAGTGGCAAAAGGAATTCGCCTGCAAATGAAATCCCTGCACGTATCTCGAGCTGCATGTGTGTTACATTAATTAAAAATTCCAAGCAGCAAGCCAACGCAAAAAATAAAACAAAATATAACTCATTAAGTTCGGGGCATTCCACGGAGGATCCTGGCAGCCATATCCTCCGTTACACTGCAACCACAAAGTATGCAATGCACTCGCAAATCAAGAAGCCTCCGGGCTTACGAGTATTCCAACCAAAAAACTGCACTTCTACCCCGAAAACAAATTTCCGTTTATATATTAACAAAGATGCAGTCAGCAAAAAGACTCAGGGATGGCTGTGCTCCTTCCTCTCCATTCACTCTGGACCGCCTACGAAAAAGCATTATTACAATGGTTATTTGTTTTAGCAAAGGCATTCTCATAAATGTTGCTGGCGGTTTTTGCATTTTAGAAAATATCCCAATGGCCAGTGGCTATTTTTTTTGGCTGGGATTCTGTTGTGGAGTTATAAAGTTTTTTAAACCAAACGAGAAGGGACGCGTGAGACGCTCCTTACGCGTCACAACTTTTATACCCGGCACTCAGTAGTACCACATCTGTACCTTAGCGGTTATTTGTCAAATTTAAAATTTTTTTCTTCATCTGTCATCTACATCTACAACACGTCTCACGCCAACACGCTCCTTTAGCTCGTCCCCCTTCCCTAGAGCCAAAAAGGCAGAGACGTATCTTCGCGAAGCAGAGTGTGAAAAAGAGAATGTGAAAAAAAAACAAATATAAGCTGCGGGACGGGGTGGGTTTAGCCACTGCAAATAAATTTCATTGTGGCCATAATAATAATCCAATCGGATTTTGGTGATCTGATAGATACGGTATGGCGTTTTTAGTTTTCTTTTATACTCAAAAATTTAGGTTTGGGTTTTCGCCCTTTTTCGGGGGCGGGGCTTATTTTTGAAATACACTGGTTTCAGTGTGAGCATACAGCAGTCCTGAGCCAAAATTTGGTGGCTCTAGCTCTTATAGTCTCTGAGAACTAGACGACAAGCTAGACGGACAGTCAGACATGGCTCTATCGACTCGGTTTTTGATGCTGATCAAGAATATATATACTTTATGGGATCGGAAACGTTTCCTTCTGTGCGTTACATACAACCGTTATTTGCACTAATACAATATACCCTATTTACTCTTCGAGTACAGGGTATAAAAAAGGGGATTTAGCTCGCTACTTGAGTGATACTGATCCTAATTTAAAATTCGAATTTTCCAATAATTCTTGTTTAATTTCATTGAATATTTGCGGTTTTTCTTATTTCCAATATCTAAGATTTAGTAGTGTAAATGCTAGAAAATAGCACAACATAAAACTTAGAATATTAAAATAATAATGGTATAATATTAGAAAAAAATATTAGAAAAATAATGTGAAAATACTACCAAAATCGGATAACATACCTGAGCAAATATGACTAATTGATAAACAAACGAGAAGGGACGTGCGAGAAGCTTCTTACGCGTCACAACTTTTATATCCGGTACTCAGTTCTACATCTGTACCGAAGCTGTTTTTTTCATATTTTAAATTTTGTCTTTATCTGTCACTTCATCTACATCACTTCTCATGCCAACCCGTAGGGTTTATTTTTAAAATACACTTGAATCAGTGTGAGCATACAGAAGTCTGGATGCAAAATTTGGTGTCTCTAGCTTTTAAAGTCTCTGACGGACGGACGGACGGACGGACTAACAGATATGGCTTAATCGACTCGGCTATTGAAGCTGATCAAGAATGTACATACAGAGGGGAGCAATAATGAGTACATGTTCATAATAACTAACTTTCGGCGCCCATAACTTCTAAACGCATAATGCAAACGTAATCATTTTTTGTTTAGATATTAATAACTTTATCCTTAACAAATAGGCAATCCCAGAAAAATACAATAAATAAAAAATTAAAAATAAAACGAGAAGGGACGTGTGAGACGCTTCTTACGCGTCACAACTTTTATACCCGGCACTCACTACAACATCTGCACCTTAGCGGTTATTTGTCAAATTTTACATATTTTTGTCATCTGTCATCTACATCAACAACACTACTGACACCAACACGCTCCTTAAGCTCGTCGCCCTTTCCTAGACCCACACACTTCAGACTCGCGGCAGAGGCAGCGCCCGCACCAAAAAAAACAAATATAAGCTGCGGGTCGGGGTGGGTTAAAAGTCGGAAGAAGCATCGGCAGGGGGAGGGCAGAGGCAGGGGCCGAGTGAAGCAGAAGTAGAGTGTGAATGAGAGAATGTAAAAAGAACAACAAAAGCTTCTGGACAGGGTGGGTTTAGCCACTGGAAATTAATTTCTCTATTGTGGCTATAATAATGATCCAATAGGATCCGAATTTAGTGATCTTAAAGAAATGGCCATTTCCTACGGAATGGCGTTTTTAGTTTTCTTTTATCTTCAAAATTGTATATTTGGGAGCGTTTCGCCCTTTTGCGGGGGCAGAAGGGGGCGGGGCTAATTTTTGAAATACACTGGTTTCAGTGTGAGCATACAGCACAGTCTGGAGCCAAAATTTGGTGGATCTAGCTCTTATAGTCTCTGAGAACTAGCCGACAAACAAGACGGACAGACGGACAGACAGACATGGCTCTATCGACTCGGCCATTGATGCTGATCAAGAATATATATACTTTAAGGGGTCGGAAACGTTTCCTTCTGTGCGTTACATACAACCGTTATTCCCCACAAATACAATATACTCTTCATTTACTCTTCATTTACTCTTCGAGTACCTGGAATAATCGAAGCAGATTTCATGAATTTAATAAATAGTGCCTATGTTGTACCTGAGACAGAAGAAACAATATCTAGAAAATACCCTATTTACTCTTCGAGTACCGGGTATAATTAAAAGAAAATATTAGATATTCCTTACAGTACCGGATTGCTTCTTTCCGTCTTTTCCGTCTTTCATCCAGTCCATCTTTACTGATTTGATCTATCCAATGGAAAATTCCTGCACCATGCAACCCGTCAATAAAATTATAAAAAATGAGATACCTGATTTACTCTAGTTGGTTTTTATGCACGATTATCTGCACCCTAAACGATAGCCAATCACACATTCTCTCTATCAGTCTCTTGTAGAGATAGCAACCCATTAGCATTGACAGATTTAAATCTCCGTCGTCCATAACTACTCATAACTTTTCGAGTTATATTTTCCATCCTCGTGCCAACTAATTCCTTGAGCAAATATTAAGTTGATTTTGCAATCGAGACTCTGAGCTGTGAGCTGTGCAGATGGAAAACGGGATGTGAGGAAACCAAACAGTCGAGTCTAGTCGCTTGGGTAGAGAGAATTTTCCACTTTTCAAGTGATTTTTTGAAAAATTTATTAAAATGCTCATTTGAAGTTATTGTTGTGCCTCGCTTGATGTAGATACTTTGCTTTTACGACTCACGAGACCAAGTGGCCAGCAGTGGCGTGAAGTGAAGATGAGAATGAGGATGAGCACCAGACAAACTTTCAGTGTGGCTCAGTTCGAGTCGCTGTAGCAGTTGCTGTCGCAGTCCCAGGACGACAACGACGACGACTAAGAGAAGACCAAGAAGACGACATCGTCGTCAGTCATGTCAACAGTCGATGCGCTACACACGCTTCCGGAATTCCAGACTTGAACTAACTCAACTTTTACAGCGGTTGCTTCTTTCACTATACTTCTTGGATATGGCTTCTGTTTGGTGCATGTTAGTGCTAGAGATGAGACATAATGTGATGTAAACTTATGCATTTTTTAAGCAGAAATTACCATTTATTTGGAACTTATGTAAGCCTTTGATATTTGGTAGTTTTATCGCAACTGTTGTTTGTCATTTCTAGTGATAAATATGAGGGTAAGGTGAGATATAAATGGAAGTGTAGACATAAGGGAATGCCCGTACATAATACATTTAAATCGTGTTTTAATCTGTTTCTTCATTCATTGTAGTTTACATTTCTTTAACAAGCATTTGGAGAGGTGTCTAGCTCGTGGCTTTCTTTAAATATTAAGTCCCGCCTCCTGCATGCACTTTTTGTATGCATCTATCACGCCCATACAGTGCTCTTCCCCGTACTCGCCAATGCACTTATCACGTGCCTGCTTGGTATCGGGACAGGCACAGCAGGGACTGCACTTGGCGTTCGTGTCACCAGAAATAGCTACGGTCTCCTCCGTGATGGGATCTGCTGCCACGATCCCAGCTGCGATGGGTTCTGAAGCAGCAGCTGAAGGCTCTTGAAATTGGTTGGACAAACTGCTGCCCATTGTTGAGATAATTTGTAGAAAAACTTGTGTTAAGGGAGCACGATATTTTTGGCTTATTTGTATAGACACAATTTCGATTTTTTGGTTATACAAATCCAATTTCCTTACGATAATTTCTTGGATTTTTATGCAATGCCTACTTTTGATTCCAGAATTTATATTCTCTGTCTCCCATCCCTGTCACGCTGTCATCTCTAAATTGTGTCCTTTGCGTCCAAGCGTTCAAAGCTGGACTGGTCCTCTTTCCTCTTTGGGCCTTTAGAAGTTTGAGGCGTCTGCTGACGACATCGTCGCCATCGCCATCGCAGAGTCGGGCAATTCACTTTTATTGAAATGGCGTTCAATGTTCTGTTGGCTGCCTCAGTGCGTTGCGCTCAGAGTTGGATTCGGATTCGGTTTCATCTCTCTCCTGTGTGTTTTCGTTGCTATCTTGCTCTGGCCACTGCTTTTTCCAATTCGTCTGCATTTTCCACTGTGCCCTGTCCCCTGTCTTCCTCCTGTTTGCTCTGTTGTTTTTCTTACAGTTCTCTGCAAAAGTATTTT